TTAGTTTTAAAACTTAATTAAAAATACTTTTACAATGAATTGAATACCAATTTAATTGAGTTTAAGTGATATTTCATGCACTCATCGATGGGATCATTGGTTGAGTTGGTGTCAAACAAATTACTCCGGAGGAATGGCAGGAATGCCATCTCAAACATATCAGGAGTACTGATGATTGCAAATGCAATGCAATTATCATCGAATGGAAGTCGAAATTTGGGGGAAACCATGAGGTTATACCATTGGATCTATTGGACAGTCATTATGATAGACATTGTGTTATGATTACAGTTAGGACTTAATTAGAACTAATGAATAAATGATCATGGTAAGTGGGAAGTGGTAAGTTGCTCATACTTTGAAGGGATGTGCCTCTAAACCAATGGATGATAATTGAGTCTTGAGTTGTCGTGACATGCATTCAAACTCATGTTTCGACATATTCTTCAAATTCATGGCAGTGGTCACCGATTGTCATGTGGGAAGTGATCACAAACTTTAAGTTCTAATTGAATGCAATCAGTTGTAAAAGTGGTCCAAACTTTAGACTCTAAAGTGAAGAACAGGAGATCAGTGGACATAGTGTTGGATGTGTTGAAGACATGTTAGATATGGTGTGAAAGTGACTGAAATGTGATTCATGTGAACATCACTTGAGATAAGATTTGGACTCAAGTGTGAAGTGAGTTGTTGTGAGGTTTGTGTCACTCTCTCACTGATCACTGATCGGCACATGTATTGCATGTATGACTGTATGACTCATGTGTTCAGAGTTTGCGTCAACTCTTCCCCTCTTTTTCATCATTTGTTTTCTTTTCATCACTTTTGCTATCATTTAGTCATCACTTCAGTCATCAATGGTTTGTATGAGACAAATGTCAAGACATGTGTGGAATCGTTGCGTAAGAAGTGGTTTTTCGCCACATCTGAAGAAATCAGTGAAAGTGTCCAACCATTGCACTCTTTGGCAATCATTGCGATTGTCATCCAATGGGACACAAGGCATACAAAACCAGACCACAAATGACTTGGACTTTGAAAAGTTGTTTAAAGACATGAAATATGAGGAACTGATTCCAAGCAATTGGCAGACATTGGTTTACAAGCAGGAAGTGCTGTTAGTTATGCCGCGACAGAAGTGGGGAAACAATCAGATGAATGTCTTGTACGCCAAGTATCTGATGAATGAATCTCAAGCTTTGGTGAACACTCTGCCGAATATGAAAGTAATCGACTCCATAATGATCTCAACGCTAGACATCACCAAAAGGAAAGTCTTTGGTTCCGGAAATTTTGAGCTCTTGAGGGCCAAAGTGAAGTCAAATCCACGGATCAAAGGAGTGGTCTTTTCCATAGATATGTTGAATTCGGTTCAGATGTCCGAAATGGAGTCCCAATTAGGGGTTGACGTGAGTCCTGAGTCGGCACATGACTGTCACGACAGGAACTGATGATTGAATGACTTGTTCCCAGATTTACGACAGATATTCCATTGTCTTAAATGTCTTC